TTCTCCTTATCAAATGCACTTACAGACAACGTAGCTTGGTCCTCCTAACCTTTGATACTGGTGGTCTCCTCATTACAAAATAGAGGCTGAAGTGAGCATAACTTTTAGAAAATAACAAGGTTCGAGAGAAAGCAAGAACAAAGTAGAGATAAAAGCATACTAGAACGTCCAGTTCTAACTAGGCTTGCGTCCTATAGTCAGTATTGCTTTGATACCACTTTGTAGCACCCGGTTTTAAGAACAAAACCAGATACGCACTATATGTGAGCCCAGGAAGTCAAATCTCACATATAGCTATAAATAAGGGTAATATCAAAAGACAAATGCTAAATATATAACATACTTAGTATAAAGAATACAACCTTAGATAGCAAATAGCGGAAAGACAACTTCGATCTTTGGGTGAAGACTTCAATTTCACAGGGACAACTGACTAGTTGATCACAAGCATAATTCCTCCAAACTCTAGCAATCTGATACCCATCCGAATTTTTATCCAAATATTTGAAAAATAAAGCAAGCGTAAGTACATGTCGTACTCAACAAGTATAGCATGTGATCTTCCTTGTTGTCCTATACACTTTTAATCATTTAATTCATACTACATGTGTCTACCTTGACTACCACTAAGGATTTTCTAGTACTTTGTACCTTGTGTCTTGATACCTATGGGTATTGCATTGGGTAGTATAATGCTAGTGCTCAATTAAAGACCATGATCTTATAACTTGACTAATGGTATATGCAATAAACATTAAAAGATGCTTTTTAGCAACATGGAACAAGGGGGCTAGAGCATTGGGATGTTTTTATGGTGCTATAGATTTCTCTCCCTAAGGTCTTTTATGTAAGTGTTCATCCGAGACTTACAGTACAACTGTGAGGACTATATGGCTCTGGCTTTAGCTCAGTATGAGGACCTTTTCTAGATTGTTAGATGTTACCTTTATGGTGTAAGAGGGGTGTGTTCCGGATTGGATATAGTGCGGCCTCTGTCCATCAGTGTATAGGCTGCGCGTTATTGTGCATGTCGGAAGGGGAGCTCTACATTCGCAGGCCACAGAAACCTAGCAGCCCTAACTTGTTAGACGAACCTTTGAAAGGCTTCATAGTGAACCCTGCCGACCTTCCTTGGTAGTGGGTCAAGAGGCTGATCACCTCGGACGAAAGGGTAAATCACGACTCACAGTGAAAGTATACAACCTCTGCAGAGTGTAAAACTGGTATATCAGCCGTGCTCACGGTCACGAGTGGCCTTGGAACATTTACGGAATAGATGATGAACACTGATGATACTGATGATAAAGATGCTCACCAATGATTACTGTTTATGCTATTCATTATTTATGTTTACCTAATCATGTGTTTATGGGCTTATGATAACTTTGTTGCCATCATATTTCTAAAATCATGACTCATTAAAAGCTAATCGCAGTTAACCAGTGTCAGTCTTTTAAGCCTCATGAACCCCATGCTATATTTGTTGAGTACGACATGTACTTACGCTTGCTTTATTTTTCAAATATTTGGATAAAAATCCCGGATAGGTACCAGATTGCTAGAGTTTGGAGGAATTAGGCTTGTGATCAACCAGTCAAGTCAGTTGTCCCTGTGGAATTGGAGTCTTCACCCGAAGATCGAAGTTGTCTTTCCGTTGTTTGCTATCTATTGTATTCTTTATACTAAGTACGTTATATATTAAGCATTTGTCTTTTGATATTATCCTTATTTGTAGCTATATGTGATATTTGACTTCTTGGGCTCACATATGGTATGTATCTGGTTTTGTTCTTAAAACCGGTGCTACACTTACACCATGAGATTCTATGTATGTCCGTAGCGATGCCCGGGTACTCAACTAGTACAACTAAAAGGAATCAACTGATGATACCGTCCGCTTATGTCGCTAATCACCCACAGTGCGATTAGCCCATTGAGTTGCCTCAGCTAGGACTGTCGCGGACTTGGCAACACCGTGACGGTGATAAAAGCTTTGCGATTTGGCAAGGCGGTTTGCTCCATCTATGCTTTATGTTTTAGAAACTCAAACGCACAAGATGCTGGTAAAAAATTTGAAGAATACATTAGGCTTTGATCACTCCCCTAGCGCCGACTGCTGGACCCGGGTTGATGCACCAAAGCTATCACGATATGGAATAGGCAAAGGACCTTTTTTTCTCGATCAGGTCTGGGCCGTTTTTCATAAAGCAGACAGGAAGTTTTAGAAGGTTACAATAGTGGCCCCGTTTGCTTCGCTGAAAAAACAAGCCAAAACACTATTCCGGCTGATTTGTTGTGGAGAAAAATACTGTTCCGACTAAAAAAAAAGCTGAAAAGTACGGAATTATAAGACAAACGAACAGGACCGTGTTTCCATTCTTGCTAGTGAGTCACTAAGACCGGAACACTAAACAAGCAAGTCCATTTAAAATGTACTATACGGCCATAGAATGGAGCGACTAAGGCGGCCAACCCTCAACCTATGCGACAGGCACAGCCGCACCCTTTTTACACCGCATACACGGGAAGAGCACATCCATTGCCTCCTCCTTCATGGGTGAAAGCAGCAGAGCGAAGGCTTGCTTAAACTCTTCAAAGGATGCCTGATTGGGGACCTCCGTGGATGTTTCAAAGCCTGCAAAGGACCTGGCTGGTTGGCTCTGTTTTTTCAGGAGGCAACTAATGAAGTAAATAATCACATCTTGTTATGCGATCACTTGAACAACTTATGGCTCAAAATTTTATATAACTATCATGTTATCTGTTCCAATAGGTATCGGAATCGGACTTTCGTACATTCACTGCTGCACGAACGTGCACGATTAATTCTAATTCAATGAGCACAAGTCCTGAGTCCAAGTTAAATACGGATCAGTAGAGACACGGGGAACTTTGGAAAATAAAAAAGGATGGATGAAAGAATCACTTTGCTCTTTTAAATTATATATCGATACATGTTGCAACTGGATGTATAATCTGTCATGCAGTGCTCGTGCCACTGACGATGAGTTATTTTTGTTGAATTTAATTGGGTTTGGCTCAATTAAAATGGCTGGTTATTGTGCATATGTTGTGAGCGAAAGAGAAGATAAGCCACACACCCGCACAGGTGTCGTGACGTGTAGCTTTCAGGCTGGTCTACTGCTAGCTTGTTTCAGCTTATTCTCTCTCACACAACACTATTGAATTATCCAAAACCATCCGAAATCTATTGTACAGACTACCATCCGAACACGCCGTTACGGAAGTGATTGTACGTTGATTTGTGAAGTGATTTTCTAAAATGAACTAGGGGACCGAATGATGAAAAATGTATTTCCTATTGATTCAGTCAACGCACGGAGTCACTAAATGCATATAGTTTATCCTAGAGAAATAAAAAAAACATTTTCAGTAAGAGTACCACTTCTCTCGGAGAATCAACTTCCACGTAGAATCTAGGTCCTGCTTGGGAGAGCTCCGAGAGCTGATTTTCTAGTGAATCCAGCTAGAGCTCTACTAAATAGTTTTTCAGAGAGAACTAATTCTCTGCTGATTCTGTGGTGAACTAAGAGGTTGAAAGCTAAAAAAATAGTTTTCCCGATTCTATGAAGTATCTATTGTGATTTTGAGAGTTTATGCTAAAGAATCAAAGAGAATCTCTTTCAGCTACAGAATCACTTCGCTCAGAGAATTAGCTTCTATAGAGAATAAAAAACAGATATAGCTCTACCAAATAGTTTCCTAGAGTACAGAGTTACTATATGCATAGAGTTTATCTAAAAAATCATAAAACAATTTTAGTCGGACAATTACTTCTCTTGGAGAATCGGCTTCGATAGAGAATCTGGAGTTGGAGCAGAATGAGCCTACCAAACCATTCCTAAAGCTCTCTTGTTTACCAGAATGAGTTCCGATTCATGCTAGAATCTGAACTAAACCCTATTTTTAGTAAAGTGATTTTTTCACGAAACATATAAAAAGGTTTCTATGTTTTGAACTGTAAACAAGAATCGCCCAAATATTTTTATAGTGATTCTAGTTCGTTTCATAAAGAATCTAGATTAATAACTGAATGATTGAACTGATTGTTGCTAGTAATTATATTTCAGCAGAGACACATTTCTAAAGAGAAGTTGGATCTAAAAAGTATATAAGAAAACCTGGCTCCCTACAAACGCGCTCTAAGGCATGAGGATATTCGTTATTCCTTATTAGTTATTTTTAATTTCTTACTAGATAAATGTCTCGTGCGTTGTACGAAAATATAACAATGATATAGTAATTTTAGTACGAGGGTGTGTTGTATTTATTTAAAAAAATAGTATGAACGTGTTAAAAAAAGTAATTTTCTGTAAAAATATATTGGGAGGAGGGCAGCCAGATGTTGTGATGATCCCGTATACCCGTGCCTTCTGAATAATTATTACACTGATGAGCCCAGCCCGTACGTGTATTTGGAATTATAAACAATTTGAGTCTGCCAACCGCCCCGACGAGGCCGCTAAGTGCTGACCGTTTCCGATGTAAAGTCGCGAACTATGCAGAATTGGCTCCGACGCGGACTCCGTAGAACTGGGCGTGATTTTGGATTTTTAGACTTGGCGTGGCCGGATAGGGTACGTATTTGGCCAGATAGCATACGTATTTGGTACGACTTTAGATTTGTGATGCGGACTGCGGAGGAACGGTAGTCGGATAGTGTACGTATTTAGCTGAATAGTATAGTATTTGGTACAATTTTATTTGGTAGTCTTTGTGACCGGATAGTATATGTTTTTGTATCACCAGGTAGATGATTACTTTAGAGCTTTTTTTAGGTGTAAGTATAAGTAGAAGTAGATTAGTTGTTTTTTTTGCATCGATCCTTATTAGTTTTTTTTTTTGAGAAAGTCAATCCTTATTAGTTGGTGAAAACTGAGATGTAAATACACATCTTTTTCGGCCCAACCAAGTTAATTGCAATGTACATTTGGGCCTTTGAGACGTCCGGGCTCAAGGCCCAATCACTACACTTCGCCATGAAGTCGACTCTCGTATCGTATTCGCACGCCATCGTCATCCAAGGGCCAAGGCGAAACACCACCGCTCCAGCCATCCCTGCCACTGCCTCCCGCGCCGCCGAAGGCCGAGCCCTCCTCGCCTCGCCGCCTCCCTTGACCACGCCCGCCGCCTCCCTCCAGCAGGACCACACACGCCGGACTCGACTTTGTCGTCGTCGCTCTCTTCCCCTCCTCTCGTCTCCTGTAATGGCGTCGAGGGGAGGCCCCTCCGGCTTTGTCGGTGAGCCCTAGCCTTCTTCGGATTGCGCGCTCTAATTTGTTGAATCCTCTTTCTCGAACTAATAGCGATCGGGACCTAACCCGACGTCCTGCGAGGGATGGATGGATACTCCGATCCATCTGTTTAGTTATGGCGAATTCGCGTTGTTGGCTTGTGGCACTGTCCCCTGTGGGATATAATAAACTCCATTGTGATTCGGTTCTCCTGATTGTGCTTGTGCGCGAGATTGGTCTCCGTGTGTTGCATTCACCCGACACTGTCCTGTGGCATAATTAACCTAAAGTACTATTCACTAGTATTATCGCCTTATTCTAAATTTTCAGCCCGAACTGCACCTCGGTGCCCTGTGTTACCCACACCACTGGAGCTGGGAATAGAGTCAAGAATACGAATTGTTAATGCTAGGGCCTAGAAATTAACTCTATGCATTGGAGCATTGGTCTTCAGGGGATAGATGTTTTCTTTTGTTCTATGACTATGAGCACGTTCAGCGTTTTGGAATGCCACAAGTGCTAACTATTGCTTGATGCCCCATGCAGATTATTTTCATAACGGCACAAAGCGCCATGACAGCAATAAAGAGGTATGTGTTATTTTCCCGGTTGCTGCTGTTCTGTCTGGGCGTTTGTTTTTTATTGACATATCATCTGAATGAGTTGTAACTACTGTTACCATGTCTCATCTCATGCTTAGTTTGTTCTACCATTGCAGAACACAAGTCAGCAAGGCTCGAATGCTATCAGGGTGCAAAAAGAAAGGAAAACAGAATGGGCAAGACCTGGAAGAGTTTTCAATAGAAATATTACTAGAGGAGGTTACTCTCGAAGTTCATTGCCTGGTAAACCTTCGTATGCAACATGCTTACAAAATAAAATGGCATGTTTTAGTTTCATAGAGAACAGCAGAGTATATTTTCTGCAGTTCTTTTGGAAGCATTATTATGTGAAAAATTTGACCTAGCCAGACGATTGCCTCCCTTTTTTATGTACAGTATGAACCATAGTTTTTATTTGTATTTATGATTTATATAGGTTGTGTAAATCCAAGATCTGATGGATAAGTCTATATGTGGTCTTTGTGGGGCTGCAGCAGTCTTTGTGGGGTTTTTGCTGCCATCAAGGACAGCATCCTTGACTGGGACAGAGGACAGCAGCAGCAGCATCCTTGACTGGGACAGCAGCAGCAGCATCCTTGACTGGCATCTTAGCATCTAGTACTAGCATCTAGGACAGCATCTAGGATAGCATCTAGGCATATGCTTGGCTGGCTAGCAGCCTATAAATATGTATCCCCAACCCCTCAGGTTGGTATGGCATTTGTGTGAGTTTGTGTGAGAAATAAACTAGAAAATTGCCCTAACTCCTAGTGTCATCCTCTCTCGATGAGAGTAAGAATTCTGCTACTACCGAGAGTGAGAGTTCAACGACTAACAACTGGTATCGGAGTCAGTACTATCCTCAGAGCTGAGCATCTCCTCGCTCATCTCCTCCCCCACCCTACAAACCCTTAAATAGGCGTGCAGCAGAAGCTCCGGTCGCGCCCTCGCTCACTCCTCTCCTCTCTGACGAAAGCAAAGACGTCTGGCAACCCTTCTCCACGCAGCAGAGCCCCCCCAGAGAGCGCTGGTCATGTCCGCAGGCGCTCGGCCTTCGGTCGCCTCGAGCACGCCAAGGCGTCAGCAGAGGCCGAACTTGCTGCGGCAGAGGAACGCGAGCGAGCGGCGGCAGAGATGCCGCGGCGGGCGGCAGCAACAAGCGGCCGCGCAAGCGTCGAGGTGGCGGCGGCAAGCGGGCCAAGCAGCCAGAAGCGAGGCGGAAGCAAAGGCGGCGGCGAATGCAAAGCGTACGGCGGCGGCGGAGGTCGAGGTTTCACGTGGCGATCGGCAGCTCCATTTCCTTGACGACGGCGCCGCGCGACCTCGAGCTGCTAGAGAGGGAGGCAAAGACCGCCTTGCGGCGGCGATGAAGGCGGCCGCGACGCCCACGCCGCAGGCGTGGCGGCAGCCCGACGACAGCGCGACGCTACCGGGCGGCGCTCTCGAGGAGGCGCGCATGGCGGTGGCGCTCTGGGCAGCAGCAGCGCGCCACGAAGCGCCGGCGGCAGCCTGCAGCGCAGCGCGCGCGCAGACGCGGCGCTCTCGGAGAGGCGCCAAGCGCGCGGGCGGCGCTCTGGAGGAGGCGGGCACGGCAACGGTGGCGGGCGGGTCGATGGAGAGCGCGGCCTTCACGCAGCTGCGTGGCTCTCTCCCCGGATTGGTACCGACGGGTCGATGGAGAGCACGGCCTTCACAGTGCGCGGGCTCTCCCCGGATCGGCACCGTGGTTACCACGGGCTCCAGTCGTTGTCGGGGACGCCGGTCCGGCGGTGGGTGGCCTACCTCACCAAGACCAACTACGCCGAGTGGGCTGCGGTGATGAGGGTAAAGCTCAGTGCGGCATATGTGGGAGGCGGTCCGACGCGGCGACGCCGACTACGACCTAGATCGACGGGCGCCGGATGCCCTCATCGCCGCAGCCCTACCGAGATGCGCTTCTCGCTTACCAACAAGCGGATCGCCAAGGAGGCTTGGGACGCCATCGCCGCGACACGCGATCGCAGCGATCACGCGCCATAAGTCCACACCGCAGCACTTCGCAGGAGTGGGAGAACACGGCCTTCAAGCCGTGAGGACGTTGATGACTTTGTTATCCGTCTCAACACTCACTGCGTAAGATGGTGCGATTCGGCGATGACACCTACGGCGAGGAGAGAGTGTCGAAAAGCTCTTTCGGCTGCGTCCCCGAGAAGTACAAGCAGATGGCTCGTTCGATCGAGTCCCTGCGGGATCTCTCCACGATGTCGATCGAGGAGGCGATAGGTCGCCTCAAGGTCGTCGACAGCGATGAGCCACAGTCTCTCTTGGGGCCCATCACCATTAGGCGGGAAGCTCCTTCTCACTGGGAGCGCGTGGCTTGCCGCCCAGGGAGACAGAAGAAGGGGAGCCTTCTTCCGCGACAAAGCGGTCGCATAGCGTGGCAAGCCACGCAAGCGCGCAGAGACGCCGCCAGGCGGGCGCGAGGACGTCTTAGGGTGATGCCCGCGAGGCGCCAGGCGGCGCGCGCGGCGAGCACAAGCCGGCACGAGATGAGACGCCGCCGCCGAATCGCGCGCCGGCTTTTGGCCATTGGGCCAAGGATCGTCGACAACACGACGCGGCCAGCCCACGTCGCCTGACAAAGGAGGAGGAGCCGCTCGTTCATGGCACATGCAAGCATCGAGCTACCTCCAGCGGCACCGGCCGCAGCGGCTCTCCACCTTGACGAGCCAAAAGCACACGCCCTCCTCGGCGACAGCTCCGGCAACGACAAGACTGACGGGTGGTGCCTCGACACCGGCGCCACCCATCACATGACCGGTCGACGGGAGTTCTTCACCGAGCTTGACTCTAGCGTCCGAGGCTCCGTCAAGTTTGGGGATGCCTCCGGCGTGGAGATCAAGGGCGTCGGCTCCGTCATCTTCACCGCCGTGTCTGGTGAGCACAGGTTGCTCACCGGAGTCTACTACATCCCCGCGTTGAGGAACTCTATCATCAGCTTGGGACAGCTGGATGAGAACGGTTCGCGCGTGGTGGTTGAGGATGGAGTCATGAGGATTTGGGATCGCCGGCGTCACCTTCTTGCCAAGGTAACCAGAAGCGCAAATCGACTCTACGTCCTCAACGTGCAGGTGGCACAACCCCTCTGTCTCGCTGCTCGTCGGGATGACGAGGCGTGGCAGTGGCACGAGCGTTTCGGGCACCTTCACTTCGAGGCCCTGAAGCGGCTCAGTGCCACGGAGATGGTGCGAGGTCTGCCGTGCCTCGACCATGTGGAGCAGCTCTGCGACGTCTGCGTGTTGACGAAGCAGAGGCGACTCCCCTTTCCCCAGCGGGCGAGCTTTCGAGCCAAGGAGAGGCTCGAGCTTGTGCACGGGGACTTGTGTGGCCCGGTGACACCGGCCACACCGGGAGGACGACGCTACTTCCTGCTGCTCGTCGACGACCTCTCCCGCTACATGTGGGTGATGGTCCTCAGCAGCAAGGGAGAGGCTGCGGACGCCATCAGCACGCGCAGCAGCCGCCGCGGAGGCGAGTCGCGGCCGCAGTCACGCGTCTTCACGCAAGACCGACAACGGCGGCGAATTCACGGCGGTCGAATTCACGTCGTCTTCACAACCGACGAGGGTTTCAGCGCCACTACTCCACGCGCCGCATAACCCGCGCGAACGGCGTCGTCGAGCGGCGCGCAACCAGACGGTTGTGGGGATGGCTTGGGCCCTCCTTAAGCAGAGGGGGATGCCGGCTGTCTTCTGGGGAGAGGCGGTGGTGACGGCCGTCTACATCCTCAACCACTCGCCTACCAAGGCGCTCGACGGCGGGACGCCATACGAGGCTTGGCATGGGCGCAAGCCGGTGGTCTCCCACTTGCGGGTCTTCGGCTGCCTCGCGTTCGCCAAGGAGCTTGGCCACATCAGCAAGCTCGACGACAAGAGCACTCGGGAGTGTTCATCGGCTACGCGAGAGGCTCGAAGGCCTACCACATCCTCGACCCGAAGACACAGCTGGCGTGTGCGCGCGGCGCGCTGACGTTGTGTTCGGCGACGGGCGAGGATGGGCGTGGGACAAGGCGGTGGACGACGGCTTGGCTCCGACGTACGACGACTTCACTGTCGAGTACGTCCACTTCGAGGGAGCTGGGGGAGTAGGTAGCTCTTCTTCGGCGAAGGTCTAACCCAATCCCGAGCCTCCACCGACCCCGGCGCTGCTATTCGACAAAGACCACGCTCTCCGGCCCAGACCTCACCGCGATGAGTTCTTCACCGCTCCACCACGGTAAAAGGCAACGCCACGCACTCCAAAGACCGACAGCACCACTCCGCACGCGTCTACCCCACCACCACCGTGTCGAGCATGGCCCGATGAGCTCGCTACTCCGCTCTCTCACGACGAGGAGCGCTTGTTCGACGCTGCATACCGCGACGGCGAGCCGTTGCGGTACCGTCTGTTGGAGAACCTTCTCGGCGACCAGCGGGTGCTGGGACCGGTGCCTCACGACCTGGAGGCGCAGTTGCACCTTGCGTGTGACGACGGCGAACCTCGGTCGTTTGCGAGGCCGAGAGACACGCGGCATGGCGTGCGCGCGATGCGATTGGAGATGGATGCGGTTGAGAAGAACCGCACCGGGAGCTTGCTTGACCTTCCTCGTGGTCACCGCGCGATCACCCTTAAGTGGGTGTACAAGCTGAAGAGGGATGAAGCCGGTGCCATCGTCAAGCACAAGGCTCGCTTGGTGTCACGAGGCTTCGTGCAGCAGGAGGGGGTCGACTTTGACGACGCCTTTGCTCCCGTGGCATGGATGGAGTCCGTGCGACTCCTCCTTGCGCTAGCTGCCCAGGAGGGCTGGCGTGTTCATCACATGGACGTCAAGTCGGCGTTCCTTAACGGCGACTTGAAGGAGGAGGTCTACGTGCACCAGCCACCGGGATTTGCGATCCCCGGCAAGGAGGGCAAGGTGCTCCGCCTGCGCAAGGCCCTCTATGGCTTGCGGCAGGCACCGAGGGCGGAATGCCAAGTCGATTCCACGCTAAAGGGATGGGCTTGAGCAAAGCCCGCGACGAGGCGGCCATCTACCGACGGGCGGTGGAGAAATGCTCACTGGGGTGGGTGTCTCGTCGACGACTTGGTGATCACCGGCACCAAGGATGCGGAGGTGGCGGCATTCAAGGAAGAGATGAAGGCCACCTTCCGGATGAGTGACCAGGACCTCTCTCCTTCTACACGGGATCGAGGTGCACCAGATGACTCGGGATCACGCTTGACGGACCGCCCTCGCCAAGCGCGTCGTTGAGCTAGCTGGGGCTCACCGATCGCAACTTAGCTCTCACTCCGATGGAGGAGAGGTCAAGTCGAGCCATGACAAACGCACGGCGGAGGAGGTGGACGCTACGCAGTACCGGCGTCTTGTGGGGAGCCTTCGCTACCTCGCCCACACACGGCCGGACCTGCCATTCTCCGTCGGCTACGTTAGTCGGTTCATGCAGCGACCGACAACGGAGCACCAAAGAGGTCAGTGAAGAGGATCATCCGCTACGTTATGGGGACTTTTGACCACAACCTCTACTACCCTAGGTGCCCTGGGGCGGCACACTTCCGTCGGTGCAAATGACAATGACCACGCCCGGCGACATCGACACCAAAGAAGAGCACGAAGGGATCCTCTTCTTCCTCGGCAAGTGCCTTATTAGTGGGCGATGGGTCAAGCAAAGGTGGTGGTCTATCCACCACGGCCGAGTACATAGCGGCCTCCACCGCTTCGACTCAGGCGCTCTAGCTCGTTCGACTGCTTGGTGATCTCCTCGGCAGAGACACTAGAGTGGTGGAGCTCAGGGTGGACAACAAGTCCGCTCTGGCCCTGGCAAAGAACCCCGTCTTCCACGAACGCAGCAAGCACATCCGGGTGAGGTACCACTTCATCCGAGGCTGTTTTGAGGAAGGGAGCATCAAGGCGAGCTACATCAACACCAAGGACCAACTTGCGGACTTGCTCACCAAACCCCTTGGGAGGATCAAGTTCCTTGAGCTCTGCTCCAGGACCGGGATGGTTCAACTTCCCCACAAGACGACGCACAAGACTTAGGGGGAGAATGATGGATAAGTCTATGTGGTCTATGTGGGGCTGCAACAGTCTTTGTTGGGTTTTTGCTGCCATCAAGGACAGCATCCTTGACTGGGACAGAGGACAACAACAGCAACATCCTTGACTGGGACAGCAGCAGCAACATCCTTGACTGGCATCTTAGCATCTAGGACTAGCATCTAGGACAGCATCTAGGCATATGCTTGGCTGACTAACAGCCTATAAATATGTATCCCCAACCCCTCAGGTTGGTATGGCATTTGTGTGAGTTTGTGTGAGAAATAAACCAGAAAATTGCCTCAATTCCTAGTGTCATCCTCTCTCGATGAGAGTAAGAATTCTGCTACTACCGAGAGTGAGAGTTCAACGACTAACAAGATCAAGTTGATATTTTCTCGGACATTAATGGTACCATCTTAGGCCTTGCTTGTCAAGGCTCTAGCTCACACTTCCACGTCAGATCTAAGTTTGTAGGCCAAATAAAGTGGTTTGAACTTTTAATTTAGTCTACAAAATAAAACAAGATGACTCATCCAAACAGAAAATACCCTATAAGGCTGTAATATATTTTTCAAGTATAGCTATCACTGGCCATACTAATCCTTCAGTTCACCTTTTTAATGCTGATTGTTCTGAGAATAATTTTCTAGATATGTTCTTATGTGAGCCTGTGGCATGCATGGTGATTTTTTGGTTGTAAAACAGATGCCTATAATGTGTAGCACGTTTCTGCATAAAGCCGGAGTTTTTTTTTATTTGCTCAGCTTTACTGTTGCTACTGTTGCATATGAGTTATTTTCAACCTAGCAACCTATTTGTTTCTGCTCTTAGCCTTCTAGCCACCACCCATGTTTTCATAAAACACATTAAACATATGGAACATTATTTACTTAGATAAAACGTTGACATATGTGGATACTATGGCAAGATGGAAGTTCTTGACCTCTTGTACTTGCATAGCATTCTTATGTAACATCTATTAACTTTTCACAGTGGTTATGGCTATATATTCTGAGGCAGCAGTAGATGCTTCATTCTTATGTTGTATATCAGTAACTAGCACCTATGTTATATGTTTAAAACATTGAAGTACAAAAGTTATTATGATTCGTCACTTGTGTTTATTAATCCAGCATTTTGGAATAAAGCTTCTTTTAACCTTTTGACATTGGACACTTTCAGGAGTCACACAGGAATTTCGTGTCGTCAAAGATAACAGAATTAAACTGAAAGAAGTTAGTGAGACTTTGCCAGAAGCATCTCAGAATGGCGATTCTAGCAATGAATGTGCTGTTTCAAATGTTAGAGATAAAAGGTAGAGTATGCCAGCCGTCCTCTATGGCCCTTTGTATTCTTCTTTCCATGTAAAAAATGGAACATTGTAGCGGTACTCACTATTAGAAAATATTGCATTATTTCAAGATAATTGCATAACACAAAACTATGGATATAGCTGTGGATTCTTAATCTTACGCACTGTTTTCTTCCATCTGTGTTATTTGTATTTTTTATATGGCTGCTATATGTGAACCTCCCCCCCATCCCAAGTGGCAGTCCTCATTTCTTCATGTTTTTAGCAGTTTTATCAACATATTTCAATTAACTGTTTGCGTTGCTTTAGTGTATGTTTACTAGCATTATTGGCTTCTCTGCTTTATGATCTGATAGCTGCTTTATTTCTTTGCTGCATCATTTTCACCAGTATCACATCTGTTCATATATGTCGTTATCCTGTTTCTGAAGCTCAACTGAAAAGCTAGCTGCCCAACACCGCTTGGTTACTTGCAATGCTAATGGGCATGGAGCAACTCATGCTGACAATGGTATCAAAAGTGCTACTCAAGCCCATGATAAGGAAGTCAAGCCTTCTATTGTCCTAAAGTTGGAACAGTCTGAAGGGGGACAAGCATCATTGGTTGGTTCTCGTGCAGTTTCTGGAAAGGGCAACCAGAACACGGTGGACACTGCAGCATCAGGGAAAAATAATTTTGGTGGTGAACTTTGCTGTTCTTCATCAGATCCAATCCATGTACCCTCTCCTGGTTCTAAATTAGCTGGAACTTTTGGAGCCATAAAGCGTGAAGTTGGAGTAGTTGGTGCTAGGCAAAGGCCATCTAATAGTGCAGCAACAAACACATCTGCTTCTAATGGCTTAGTCAAAGTGGTATCAGCACCAAAGGGTAATAATCCTTCAAAAGAGCAACAATCTGTACTCTCTAGTGTCTCTCTGAGAAATATCCGTTTTAATTTGCCTGTACCTTTGAGCAATAAGCAATCTCATCATGTTAGTCATACAAAAGGTTAGCATTTCCACGGGAACTTCATACGATGACAAATCTTGATCTTTTGATAAATAAACAAATAGCTTGATTATGATGCCTATGTCCAACTTTTTGTCACACATAATTATTTTTTCCGTAAGAGTAAGACATCATGAATGAACATGCATGTTCATATTATACTTCTATGCAGAAAATTATTAGTGATTTATTTAATAAGGCATTCACCGAGTAAAACTTCATTTTTTTTCTAGAACTCCCCATCCATTAGACCCATATTTTCTCTTTACATTTGCACCACATTATCCTAAGCTACTTGGAAGCTAGATGCTATCAGTGTCACACTGAAAGGGATTACATTGTAGATTTATTGAATTTTTGACCAGCCTTTAATAAATCAGAAAAATGTTTAACTGTCATCAAGGAACCATGTGGAATTTTTTTTAACATGCATTTCTGGAGGGATAGGCTGTGCTTTTTCCATCTTTATTATTGGTTTACCTTGGTCTAGCAAATTGATGTTTAAAAATACTACTCACTTGTATGCAGTTAGCCCACATCTGGAGTGGAAGCCCAAATCAGTAAGCCCCAGCTCTATCAGTCATGGAGTTACTGCTGCACCTCCTGCTGCTCCATCACCTGTTGATGATGGAAGTACAACAGAAGTGTCTGCTTTGTCTAAGAAGCTTTCACATGCTAATGTATCACATGAACATGTTATTATACCGGAGCACATCAGGATACCAGATTCCGAAAGAACTCATTTCATCTTTGGTTCTTTTGAATCTGAAATTGATCCAAAGGCTTCTTTAGCAGCCTCTTATGATATTGTGGCTAAAGAAGACTTGAATGATCACTCTCCTTCAAGGTCCGAAGCATTTTCGACTAATACTTTGTAGCATGTTTCAAGATGCAATTGTACCAGCTCCAGTGTTTCCATCTGACAATTTTTCTTGACTGTCTACTTAAAACTATTTCATCTTTAAATTGAGACTTGTTTTTTTTTGTTGCCTACAGCCTGGCAGCATTGGATTCCACATCAACCGATGGGACTCCTAATGGTAGGATGGATAATGTTGTTTCCTGCAGTCCACTTCCACAGTCAGAGTCTGCTGTTTCAGTTTCTGAACATCAGCAGTCATTGACGGAGTGTGTGGAGGTTCGGAGTCCTGGTGTTGTCGGTGAGTATGGAACAAATGAGATGATTTCAAGCAAGGTCACACATTCTCAACCTCGACTCCAGCATCAGGAAGCTACACAGAATTTTAAGGTATCTCACTTGAAAACATATGACAATATTTTATTTGGTTTCTGTGTACTACTCATTTATATACTTTTGATTTTTTTCTTAAACTTACACTTTATGATGTACCAGGCATACGAGCCAGATTCTGGTTATGGGATGTCATTTATTACTGAAGTTGTGGATGGTGAAGCAACCCAAAGTATGGCTTATTCATCTGAGGTAAGATCAACATTCTGTTTCCTGGTTGATATGTTTAGAAACAGTAATTTTATCTGGATCGTTTGTTTGCAAACTTTTCAAGCGTGAGAGTTTTAAGGTTGAAATTGACTGTCTTCTGCTTTCTTTGTCTTCCTTTTGTAGGTTTATAGTTGTGATTAATAAAATTTGCATTGTTTAGCATTATGAAGATTTATTCAAGAACCTGCCTATAAGAACCTATTAGCAACTAGTTGCGTCAGGGACTTGCACTCCTATTACTATTAGTACATATTTGGACCTTCAGTAACCTTCACGAACATCAAGTGCACCTAAACAACTAAGTTTTTGAAATGAAGTGCCAGATGGGATGTATATTTAGTTGCCTTATTTCCCTTACTTTACACTCTAGGCTAGTATGTCTTTTCAGAGGTTGTATGATGCATGGCTGTTGGCTCTTAACCTGCATGAGCAATAATCATGCTAGTATCTGGATTCTATTGCTAGTGCTTATCCATTGCCCCAGGCCTATTTTCATTGGCAAGGCTTTACGACAACTTATGTGAGATTATGTTGGCAGGCCATGGTTTTACATTCTGTAAATGCCTATCAGTTACCTGCATCTACAACAACTCAACAACCAGTGCCCCAGATGTTTTCTCAACAATTCCAAGTACCTCAGTATCCAAACTTTTTGCCATATCGGCATGTTTTCTCACCACAGTTTGGGTCTCCAATGGTTGTCCCAAACTATTCAAGCAACCCTGCATTTCCTCAGTTGCCACATGCCAGCAGCTATCTGGTGATGCCAAATGGAGCCTCGCAACTAGCTGCCAATGGCATGAAATATGGATCAAACCATCAGTATAAGCAAGTGTTTCAAGGAGCCCCTGCTGGATATGGCTATGCAAATCATAATGGTTACCCTGTCAGTAACGGTGTAATTGGCGGCACAGGTGCTATTGAGGATACCAATATGAGTAAATACAAGGACACCAGCCTCTATGCACCCAATCCACAGGTAGTGTGAACTCTTTTCTGGACCATTAACTATTTGTATAAGCATGACTATAGCCTTTTATTTTCCGTGATTGTCAGGTTGAAACAGCAGATGTATGGGTTCAAAGTCATAGAGAGAGTCCCAATATGCCATCTGCACCGTTCTACAATATGGTGGGACAACCAGTGTCCCCCCATGCAGCATACTTACCACCACACAGTGGCCACACCGCCTTCAATCCCGCCCCTTCCCATCCTGCTCACTTGCAGTACCCGGGCTTTGCGCATGCACTGCACCCAACATCAATGACTATGGTGCAGAACCCGCAGGCCATGGTACATCAGCTGGGTGCACCGCCATTGGCAGGAAATCTAGGCCTGGACATGGCTGCCATGGTTCCTGGTAGTCAAGTAGGAGCATTTCAACAGAACCAGCTTGGCCATCTTGGCTTGACCACCCAATCCTTTTGAGATTTTGACGTGCTTCTATGATTGGATAAGTGAAATTTCGATTCCGTGTTGAGAGAAAACCTAATTGAAGTGCCATGCTGTAATATGCAGGATAGACCTGATGATTACCAGGTTTTTGTTTTATATTATTGATAAAAGGGGAAACCATTTTATAGTGCCGTTGTGATTTTCATGAATATCTGGTTTACTGTTTACTGTTTACTGTTTACTTCCAGTTTCTTGTTCCAAAATTTTATTATAAAAGTAATAAAACTGAATTGCCATTTGATTTGATTACTGGTAGTCGCAGAAGCCTAAGCTCACCGAAAAAATCTTCAACTCAAACCAAAGCAAAATGTTGCGTAGTAGCATTATGCTGCATTGCATTACTGCTAAAGTAATACATTGTGCTGTCAAAGTGATCCAAAATGTAGATGCTAGCTGCATCTCAAAAGTGACTCACAACCATTGACAGAAAATAAAATAAAAAATAAAATTTCAACAATGTGCCGAGCATGTTTTTCGTTAGATCTGAGCAAATTCGGTCCTGCACAGCCTCCTCAGTGGGTAGGGCCTGTGCATAGATTCTGCTGCCTAGGAAAAAATTTCTCCATCTAAGCCTGACTTGAAATATTTATTTTAGTTAATCTTATACTATAAATTGTGCGGTCGGCCCACCTAGGCCCAGGCCCGGTCTAAGTCCAGCACAAAACATCAGACTTGATTCACCAGTGGGATGGTCATGGGTGGAATTTTTTTTTGCCTGAAATGGCTGGGGTTTTTTCGGTCTGTTCCGACCCGCAAAATGCTTAAATCTATTTTACTTGAGGAATAACCTCACAAAATGAAAGAGGGGATAGGGTCATATAGAGGTGTGCGCAAAAAAAAATGCAACAATTACGTCAGCCAACAAACCTCTAGGTTTGTTAAAAAAACAAACCTCTAGATCTAGAGCCTCGGGCTCCTTTTAGGCTAGCTCCATGCGTTAGATGCATGTGCATAGACACGAGTCGTGAATCCACGGTAGGTTCTACGCTCATGGTTAAGGATGGCAATGGGTAAATCCCCATTGGGTATGGCCACCCCAGACCCATCCCCGCCATAAAAATTTGGTACCGCCAGAATACCCATACCCGGCCGGGTAAATCATACCCGACGGGTCACCCGTACCCGCCAATAATTTATTCACGCACATGAAAATCAACAATTCAACAGCAACCACCACTAACCAGAGCACATAAAATTAGACAAATAATAGCATATAATAATATCTTCTGCAACCAGCAGTCACATTACACCATCACACAAAGTCATTCTGTCATAAATCATTATATTACATAGCCAAAAGGGGTACATAAATAAATCTCCAAGTTCATTGCAGTGAACATATGTAGGACAACAATTCAACAAACATGATGGTCGCTTGCAAGTGCAAAGAATATGATATGAAGAGGATTAGGGGAAGGGGAACAGGGCAATCACCATTCTTGCTCGAGTTGCTCCGTCGCCGGCATGGCGTGGCAAGTTCCTGGCGCTTCGGTGCGATGCGAATACACGAGGTCACGAGGGACGGGCGGGCGGCGTAGTTTTTTTTCGACGGTGGCGGCGTTTTTTTTGCAAGTGGTGATTGCAGTGCCAGGCTGCCAGCACCGAGACGAGGTAACGACACGCTTTACTCACGCGCCTATTTTTTTGGCGGCGGGACCGCGGGAGGCCAGGCGTGGAGCCTCCGTCGAGCGGTCAAGGGCTCCAGCGGCCAAGTCGCCAGGCGGGATCGCCAGGTGAACCTAGGGTTTTACATGGGCTGGTGGGCTTATTTAGTTTTGGGCGGGGTATTTTTCAACCATGGGTAAACGGGTACGGGGATTGCTAGAACATACCCATACCCGCGTACCCGATGGGTGAAGGGTTTGGTCTATTTACGTATCCGTGGGTAGTGTGTTTAGTCCATATTTAGACCCTAATGGAGTAAATACCCGTCGGGTATCGGATCGCGGGTCCCCATTGCCATCTTTACTCATGGTTGCTTCATGGAGATTGCCCCCACTGATTCTTTTTTTTCAATAACGCATGCAGCAGGAGTGAGCGTAGCGAAGCATGCCACCCAGCCTAGTAGTAAATAATAAGGTACAACGTACACAAGGACCAAGAATCCACTTCGTCAATACATATTATTTGTACCCAACAACTCAAAAAGGTTATAGGCCCACACTGCTTCAAACGTCTCCGTCTCCTTATTGCCGGGGACGGATCTAGCATCGGGTCGGCCGGGGTTCGAGCCCCCGCTACCGTCGCTAGTTTTTTGGAGCCCCTCCTAAGCCCCCACTATTAGTTTATAATCACTAAAGCTTAGAAGGAGAGGATAAATGTAGAAAACAAGGAAGAGGAGCCCATCGTAAGATATGTTTTTAGATCCGCCACTACTTATTGCAGTATATGGAGAAGCCGCTGGTGACAAAATAGTACCTTCACTAACTTCTAGCTTATTTAAGAGAAAAGGTAGGGTTTTTTTTTGTGTGCTATAGTGCATTGAGGAGTCTGGAGCTCGGGGCTATAGGTTCTGCTTGGCTGCACTTTTACCACACGACAGTTGATGCTGCTTGATTTCTACAGTTTTACCGAGCGGTGCTGCTTCAGCTAGCACTTCCAAATGGGGCCATAGCTATTGTGCCGTTGGCTACAAATATTTCAAGCCAAAGTAAATAGCTAGTTTCAAGCATCTAGTTTCTCAGAAGCTCCCTTGTGAGATAATAACAACAACAAATAGTTATGTTGATCGTCAAATTACCATGTCCTAAGAGTAAAGTATGCACGCATGTCTTGAATCACCTACAACAGTGTGCTGGCTTGCAACACCTCCGCACCGTGATACCGTGTGCAAACGTATCAGTTGGCGCTAAGATGCTGATGAGTGGATCCAACGATTGTAGCTGGACAGTTGAAAAGGCATGTGACAAGATGCCGTTGTCGAGGTTTTCCAAGAAAAAAGAAAGTCCAATGAATGTGCACATGCACTGGGGCTTTGTTTAGTTTCCCCTAAAACTTTACACCCTATTACATCGAATGTTTAGACATATATATATATATATATGAATTGCACATATTAAAATTATTTTAAGCCTAATTAGCCTAAAACAATGGCCTGTTTGGATACTAACTTAGAGTTAGTTTCTAGCTCGGGACTAGCCCATAACTTAGCCTAAGAGATGTTTGATACAATTAAAATTTAAATGTGCTTTCCAAATCATTGGTGCGGGTGAGCCTAAATAGATTTGACAATAATCACCTCTTTGGGGATAGTTTTTTAGGGTGGGCTAGTTGCAAATAACACTCTAGCCCTCTTGTTTGGCTACTTTAGGGTTAGTTGAGCTCCAACTAGGATTAACACATGCATCCAAACAGGCTTAATAAATTAAATCACTGTGCTAATGATGATTAATTAGGCTTAATAAATTTGTCTCGTGGTTTTCGACGGATTCGTAATTTATTTTTTTATTAGTATCCGAACACCCCATACAACACCCCCATATAACATCCGATGTGACACCCCAAAACTTTACACCCTGGATCTAAACACCACCTAAGGCGTTTGATCTTAACCATCTCGTTACTGGCCTCTTCGCTTGAACTTATCAGCCGGCTTATCAGCTTAGAATCTATATTATTTTTTTCTCACAATAAAATGGCTTCAGCCGGCTTATCAGTTGACTTTAATAGCAGCCGAACAGGCTGAGTTGTTAGAGAAGGGAGGCACAAGATGGCTGTACATGCCTTTTCCTGTTTCATTTCTCCTTCTGTGGCTGTCCAGATACATCACAGTGCCTGGACCAACCTGACGAGAGATGAATATGGCAAACCTTGAGAGAGGTGAACCATAATCATCTGTGTTGCTAGGATCTAAATCGAGTAAGCTAAGGTAAAGGAGGCACACTTCATTTCTAAAATATATAGGTCATTTTGGTTTTGTCAGCAAATGTAGCATACATAATGAATCAAATAAAACTAATTTGATAGTGTAGATATTTATAAACTTAATCAAATTTAAAAGTTTTGAAACTGACAGTAAAATAGGATGGTTTTGTAACACTTTTTGCTATACTGTCAGTTTTGTTGTAAGTGTCGCTAGTAAGAAAATAGTTTTCTATACTGTCAGTTTTGTTATATCGGCGACACTTTCTACATCTTAACTGTCAGTTTTGTGAACCGCCGGTGTGAAAAGGCTAGTAAAACTGATGACATTCTATTGGCGTCAGCTTGAGAACCGCTAACTCTACCACCAGTATAAACCGATTTACACATGTGGTTTCTCTAATACAATTACCTCTGTTAATTAATTTCCAAAGGCGGCTGGATAATGGCCTATTCGACAAGCTATTCTACGGCCGCTGCTAGTGCTACGGGCTGTGTTCTCACTCACGAGTTACTGTAAAATTAGCTACAGCCAGCAACAACTGTTGTTAATGGTGGCTGAACGGATAATTATATTTCCGCAAACACCAACACATATTCCATTGTACTATAGTCATTGATCAAGTATACATCAAATAGAACATATATATGTCCAAGGTTTCAGCTCATATATACGTTGCATCAAGTCTTACAATTCACTAATAATCATCTTCATTCAAATCTAGCCTAGCAAAATCATGAAGGTCTCTGCATTCTGGTTGTGCTAACTCAGAGGTTTCATCTAAGTTCCCTTCGTAATGAACAATTTCACGGATACACATTTGTTTCTGATCACTCCATCTCTAAGAGACTTGTCAGTTGATTTGCAACAATAAATGTGATTGAAAAAGTCAGGATTTACCACTACGTAAAAAACGATTTTTAACAATGGTTCGAATTTTTTTTAGGGGCGGCTGGTGATGGAGCCGCCCCTATAGTAGCGTGTTTGGGTGTCCAGACACCAGCCATCCCTACAAATGGAATAACAGGAGCGGCTGGTGATACAAGCCGCCCCTACAAATGGGGTCTGATTTGTAGGGGCGGCTCACTTACCAGCCGCCCCCGGCGTTGCT